CAGAGTTTTCTAATGCAAACATTCTGGGATCTACTGTTAGTTTGCCATTTTGAATGGGGCTTATTTGTGGATGATTCCACACACCGGTACTTCAGGGGCTTTTTACCTGTGATATCCTAAAATGTATGCTTCCTTCAGTGCTGCTGCTCCCTGGGTGTGCCTGATTGTGCAGAAATGCGGTGTTCTACAAATTAAAGCATACTGGTTATTTTGCACATTGTGATACAAAAGCTGTCTAAGATTAAAAAAGTAACTGGCAAGCAGGCCCTAAATTCAAGTTAACTCTGTCCTAAATAATGGGATTTTATATTGTTTTCAGGAATTTGCTCCTTTCTTCAAGTTTTGGAAATTTGCAACATCACAGTTTCTGCTTTAGAGTCTCCTATTAGTAATAATTGTCTTTATGCTTCAGATTCAGTCTAAATTATTAAAGTAAAACTTCATTTGCCACTTCTTTCTTTCTTTCTTAAACACTCTCTAGAGCCTACCATTTCAGAAAATTCAGCATAGTATAACTGCAGAGGACCATCAACCAGCACCAGACAGCTGTGTTCTAAGTATGGTTGTAGGGCAGCTAAAGGTGAGTTGGGAAATTTGGAATTACCTCCTTAGTGTGTGGCTCAGTTCAATAATGACTTAACAGAAAACAATCTCCTTGTCAGTAGCAAAATGGATGTTTAAAACTGGTAGTATGATCAGTTAAAATGCTGACACTTTGTATTTTCCTTCATGTTCATTTATTATCAAAAGTAGTAATTGCATTTATTTGAACAGTTAAAGGGCAGAAAAGTGGATTAGGCTGTTGAACCTTGCAGGTATCTTCTGTCATGCAGTTTGATCATGGCTGAACTGTATCTCTGATTACTTCACCCACCTTTGTTGTTCTGTAATCCTTTAGTAGTATTTCCCAATAAAAATCTCATAATCTAGTTTGGGAGAAAGTCTCCACGTTTGCACTGCCCTTTCTCATGAAGTCCTCCTTGACCTGACCAAATCCTTTCCTTGTCCAAAGCACCTCAATTAGGTTTTCCATTCAAAGAAATACAAGCCAAGCCTATTCGATTTTGTCCTGTTATCATAGCTCCAGTATCTGTTGAATCTATGGTGCAATCTCTAAGACCAATCATAGAATTGTCATGTCTCAGAAGGAGGCCATTTAAGTTAGTGTGTCTGCATTGGGGCTTCAAATGAGCATCATGACTTGGTGCCAATCTTTGGCCTTTCTCCATATTCTTGCACATTTTGTTTCTATTCAAATAACCATTGAATGCCTCAGTTGACTCTGTCTCCATTCCACTTCCAGGCAGCATATTCCAAACGAAAACCAGCTGTTGTATAAGTTCTCTTTTTTTCTCTTGTACCACACTTGCTTCTCTTGCAAATCACTTCATCTGTGCCATCTTGTTCTTAATACTTTTACAACCAGAAATAATTTCTCCCTATGTACGGACCCCTCAATTTTGAACACTTCTATTAAATATATTCTTGGCTTTCTTTCCACACAACAGTCCCAGTCTCTCCATTTAATTCTCATGTGAAATTTCTTATTCCTAGAATCATTTTTGTAAATCTCTCCTGTAATCTCTCTCTAAAACCATCCTTCCTATCTTGTGCCTAGGACTGTACTCTAGACTCCAGCTGAGGTTGAATTAGTGTCTTGTACAAGTTCAGCATAACCTCATTCCTCTTGTACTGTGTCCCTACTAATAAAGTCTGAGGTACTGTATGCTTTAACTGTTTTCTCCACTTGTCTTGCCATCTTTAATCATATGTGCTTTGCTCCTGGGCCCCTTATGTATTTTTTTTAGTTTGCTGATGGAATGTGGGCATCTCTGGCTAGGCCAGCACTTATTGCCCATTCCTTATTGCCTAAAGGGCAGTTAAGATTCAATCTCACTGCTGTGAGTCTGGAGTCACGTAGGCCAGAGCAGGTAAGGATGGCAGATTTCCTTTTCCTAAAGGATTTAGTGAACCAGATGAGGTTTTTCAGAAAATTTGCAACTGTTTTATGGTCGTCATTAGACCCTTAATTCCAGATTCTTTATTGAATTCAAATCCCACCCTCTGCCATGGCAGGATTTAAATCCAGGTCCCAGAACATAAGCTGAGTTTCTGGATTAAAAGTCTAGTGATAATACCACTAGGCCATTACCTCCCGCATTACACACCATATTTTATATTGTCCGTCCATATTCTTCTTAGCAAAATGCATCATCTCATTTCTTCATATTGAACCCCATCTTCCAACTATCTGCCCATTCCATCAACTTGCCTGTGTCTTCTGCATAGTTTACAAATGCTTCCAAGTTTTGCAAACTTTTAAATTGGCCCCTGCACATCAGATCTAGATCACTTATACATCTGGAAAAGGAAAGGTCCCAATTCCTAATAGTGGGAGACTCTACTACAAACTTTCATCCAGCCCAAAGCATTGACCGCTATTGTTTCCTATCACTCAGCCAGTTTTGGATTCACCTTTCTACTGTCCTTTTTAAATTCCATGAACTATAACTTTACTCATATCTGTTATGTGACACTGTATCAATGTCTTTTGAAGTCCGTATAGAGCACATCATTGACGGTATCCTCATCAACCCTTTGTTACTTCTTCAAAAAAAAAAACACCCAGCAAGTTGGTCAAACTGGATTTCTGGCAGAAATCCATACTGGATCGCCTAAACAACCTACCTTTTTCATGAGATTCCTAATTCTATCCTAGATAATTTCCTAGAAGTTTTCCCACCAGTAAGTTACAGTGCACTTGCAATTTCCACTCACTTGCTTCAATTTCTTCAACTGTATCTCAACCAGTCCTCCTGCTTTGTCCACTTCAAGTCACAATAACTTAGCCATCACTTTCTCCATATCAATTTTGAACACTTCTGGTGATACAGCTTCCTCCTCTGTCACCATAGCTTTGATAAAGACGGATGCAAAGTTTCTTCTTTTATTGACCCTCATGATGTGGACATTGCTGATTGGGCCAGCGTTTTTTGCCAATCCCCAAGTGTCCTAGAAAAGATAGTAAGCATTCATTCAATGTGCTTTTCTCTATGTAAATCCCCTTTTTAGTTTCCAATTAGTTCTACACCACCTTTTACCTTACAGTTGCTATTCATGTGCCTATAGAAGACTTTGGAATTCCCTTTTATATCAGCCACTGGTTTTACCTCCTCATCCCACTTTGTTCTCTATACTTTTTCACCTCCCCTCTTAACCTTCTGTATTCTTGGTTCTTTTTCTTCTAACTGACAGATTAGCATACTTTACTACTTCCTTTTAATTTGTATCTGCTTTTTCCTCCAAGGAGACCTACATTCGGTTGGGTTCCCTTTTTTTCTTAGGGAATATACCTTGATTGTATCCAAATCATCTCACTGAAGGTCGCCCATTGTTCAACTACAGTTTTACCCATCAACTTTTGGTTCCTTTATTTGGCCCAGCCTTGTTCTTGCTCCATTGAGCCGATTCTCCTCCAGTTGATTATTCTTTCTTTGGATTTCCTGTTGTCCGTTTCTGTTATCATAAACCTAATGATGCAATAATTACTGTCTCCCCAATGTATCCCCAGACATTTGATCTACTTGGCCAACTCAGTTCCAAGAACGAGATTCAACAGTGTTTAAAAGGCATTGTTTAACAAATTTAATAAAAACACAATCTCAAGGCAAAATTGAAATAGCAGTTAGGAATTGGTTCACTATCTGAGTGGATTTAAGTCAATGACTAGTTGAATTCTTTGGTTGAGTGTCTGTTTAATGTGACTTTTGTCAAAATCCTTCATATAACTGGTTCAGTGCTGTCTTTGGTGTAAAACTGCTGATTAGGAATGCTGACTCTGTCAGAAGCTAAATAATATCCCACTAGCTACAACTGAGTTTTTAAATTGTTATCACACTCTCTTTTTGCTGGCAATTTCATTAGCTAAGCAACAAGCATTTTTTAAAAAAATCCTATCATGGGATATGAGCATTGCTGGCAAGGCCAATGTTTGTTGTCCTAATTACCCTTGAACAGAGTGGCTTTTAGGCCATTTCATAAGTTGGTTGAGAAACCAATACACTGATTTGGATTTGGAGTCACATGTAAGTACAGTAGACTTTCCTCCCATCCTTGAACACAGTGAACCAGATGGAATTTTCCAACAACCTGATAGTTTCATGATTTCAACGCCATGTGTTTATTTTGTTTTTGAATTTAAGTTCTGTATGTGGTGAGGTTTGAGCCTGTGTCTCAAGAATATTAACAATGCCATTATCTCCCTTCAATTTGAGTGGCCGATGCAAGTTTTTGACATGCTGTTTACCTGTACAATTTTTTTTATCCCTTGGAAACGATAAAATGCCCAAGTTCAGATGTTTAGGTAATTAAAGTACAGTGGTAGTCCAACATAACATGGATTAATGAATCACCTTATTGTTGTGTTTATAGAAAGATGGTTTTGTGACTGCCAAGTCCCCACTTGCCCTGACTTCTTCCCCTGCTGCCATATTTTCTTTGCATGGTATCATCAATCAGCTGTTCATTTTATAAGAGTTATTTCCAAAACAGTTTCTCAAATGTAAGGTTCTTGTTGCAAATGGTGGGAGGTGATGGTGTCATGGTGATTGTCACTGCAGTAGTAATCTAGAATTACAAACTAATTATCTGGGGACACTGGCTGAATCCCACCATGACAGGCGTTGAAATTTCCATTGAATAAAATCTGAAATTAAAAGCTAGCCTCATGACAAATGTGCAACCGCTGTCAATTGTTGTAAATACCTATATGGTTCACTTGTGTTCTTTAAGGGACTTAGCCATCCTTACCTGCTGGCTTACAGGTGACTCCAGATCCACAACAACTGATCTTTAACTGCCCTTTGATAGTTACCAACTAGGCCATTTCAAAATGCTATGAAGTCTAAAAGAAATGATACTCTATGGACCACCTGACATCAGCCTATGTGCCTAAATGGCAACATCACTATTGATCCTGCAAAGTCCTCCTTACCAACATCTAGTGGCTTGTGCCAAAATTGGGAGACTGGCCCACAAGTCAGTCCAGCCACAGATACTTTCAGAAGCATACCTTTTATAGATAGTGTCCCAGACATCGCCATCACTTTTTCCTGGATATATCCGGTCCAGTGTTCCCACAGCTTTCTTTCTGTTCCCTGAACTCGGCCAATCTGGCAGCAACTTCAGGAACTCTAAGTGTAGACGTGATTAGCATGCAGATGCTGATTGTAAGCAGAACCTTGGAGAAGCTGTGTGCGTGGCTAGAGACAATGTTGGTCTTGACCCACTGGATATACTTGCCAGATGGGTGACATGTTGGTAGTTAGAGATGGGATTTACCCCAGGAGTCCTGAAAATTCACTTCCTACCCTATGAAATCTCATGGTATTGAATCAAACAAAAAGCAACAAAAATCTGATCACAAACTACCAACTGAAAGATGAATGGATGAGGACAGAGGTACAGGAGATGACTCAAATAGTTAAGGGCCCTGTCAACCATGTGGCGGGGGGGCGTGAATCCTTGGTTGAGGAATAAAGAGGACGTGTTGGAGGCACCCCAGTGGAAGGTGACCGAATC